CTATGTGTTTTGTCGAAGGTATGAAGACCAAGATGGTGTGGACTTTTGTGTGGTCGCAGTCTCCTTTCGTCTTAAAGAAGTTGTTTGACCTTGTTTTCGCAACTTGGTCATGTTGGTAGGGAGACTTAGAGGAACGCACCTTGTCCTAAGTCCATTGTATGCATCATCATTTTCCAAGTTGTACTGTGGACGTGGTACATTTCCAAACGGTGCCAATGATGCATCTGGGAATGTACCACGTCCACGGTCCTACTCTGGAAATGATGATGCCTACCAACATGACCAATTTGCAAAACAAGGTCAAACAACTTCTATTTGTCGTTAGTAGTCTTAAGCTAATCTTATCCGTTTGACAAATCACAATGTATCTTGCCGGGATTCGAACCCTGGTAGCATTAACGGTGGATTGTACTGAGCCCATGGAGACGTTTGTCACTTTGCGAATCGCACTGGCACAACTAAATGGAGTCTTGTTAAAGGAAAGAGCACGACAGATTCTGGTGTAATGAGATGTATTCACCGTGTTTCTTGTAAGGTGATGAAGGACTGGTAGTAGAATTTTCCCACAATGGTATAAGTTGAGCTGACGTTTCCATTCAATTTCACATTGCCTTGCTTTCCCCAAATTTTTTCTCATCCCGGCTGGAGTGGATTGCAGTTTCGTCCTCGAATACGTCTTCTCGACACACTTTTGGGAAAGTAAGGCTATGTGAAATTCAAGGGAAACGTCAGCTCAAATCATATCATGTTGGGAAAATTCTACTACCAGTTCTTCATCACACTGATTTACTGGTAGTCTCGAAACCCTACCTCCATGCGAAGATTCTGGTGTGCCTTACTTGTGGCCGGTTTGGAGTGGTCCAACTGCTGCATGGTTGTGTTGGCCATGCGAATGAGTGCATCCAAGGCTGAGCTGGCACTCAAATCGAGCACAAAACCAGCTTCCCCGCAAAGCCTGTCCTCGTCATCATCGTCTTCGTTGTCGGCGCCGTCTTCATCATCATCATCATCAACATCAACATCATCATCATCAACATCAACATCGTCACCTTCCAGACGACGATGTGCGTCCGTTTGTACCATCCAGCACCTCGGAACCGAGCGTCGATGGTGGGTCAGTCTGTCGGCTGCCCCAATGCGGGCCTCGGGACTCGAACGATGAACGCGATCTTGCGAAGCCGCATATGCCGCGGGTGTGGCGTCGAGGCGAGCCAGCGAGTCCGGTGCTCCGGTCTGGAGGAAATGCATGGCTGAAGAGAAGCAGTTGAGCACATTCAACCAATTCGTGCCGGCCAGCTTGGCCGTCTCGTCTGGCGACACTTGAACGC